AGAATCTGACGAACTATCGATGACTGGTGGCCGGTTTATACTCTTACTAGAAAAAAAGAATCGAAAAGGGTGAGAAAGTTCAGTGTTATTAGGACTTGGGAGAGAGGTGAATTTGCAGAAACATTAAATATTAGAAAACGTATGGTAAAAGTGAGGTTGCGAGTTGCAGCGAGAAGGTGAAGACTGAAGATAGATCTCGAGTTTCAGCCAACGGGTTCGTAGTCCTTTGCACGAACTAATGATCTTTTAAGCATTATTAGCATTCGGCATTCTTATATTTGTTCATCGTTTTTTTTTTTTCCCAGAGAGTCTTCGAGTCGACGTTTGTTGGTCAAAGATTCGTCATCAAGGAGCGTTTTTCGAAAAAGTACAGGCATCCATCTTTGGACTCAAGACTCTCTCTCTCTCTCTCTCTCTCTATCTATCTATCTCTCTCATTCATCTGGGTTAATTTCCTTGTGTGCTAGATGGATAGGATCCTTAAAGCTTACAAAAGATCATCAAAACAATGGTCCTCAACCATGAACAAGCTCTAGCACAAGGTACCTTTTCCTACTCTGGGTTTATGTTTATTATCTGATAAATGGCAGTGTTGTTAATAAAAATGTACTTAAAGGTGTGTTATCGATTCATTTTTTCTGGCAATTTAATTGCGGCAAAGAGGAAGAAAGCGCACAATGATTGGCTAAACTCATCAACCATCTATCCTTGCGCCAAGGCAAGGCTTTTAGTAAAAAATAGTACACGTCCATGCATATTAATTTCATGCTCGGTTTTTCTAATAGCTTGCAATTTTCCAGTTGAATATCGACAATAATTAATTATCACTGTATTTTTTTTTCTTTTTTTTTTTCTGATTTTCCTGTGCAGAAATTTGGGAGAATCATATGCTAAATAGTTTGTAATGCTATTGGTATTCTGCACTTGTGCTGTGTTATTATGGAGACTAAAGCCATAGCCCCTCCATAGACTCTACTGTGAATTATTAACTGTCATTTAACGAGTTACAATATATGCTTCTCGACTTTTTTTGTTCATCCGCTTAATTCCAATACTGATGTCCTAGCGTTTGTGTTGTTAACGTGTTATTTTAGTAGTGTTTAATGTTGTTTTGGGCTAGAAATGGATTTAGTAATGTCCTTCTGTCTCTAGTATTCGATGTTTCGAATTTTAGTTTTAAGAAAATACGTTCAAGCCGTTGGTTTTTGGTTGAAGGTTAAAAAAATTTCTTTTTTAGATCACTTTTACAACCATATTGAGAACTTATTAAGGTGAATTTCACCCTACTGACGTGGACAGATTTCGTGGTGTTGGATCAACACACACTCATATGTGTATGTGTGTGTGTGTGTTTGAATTTGACAGCATGGACCCGATATAGATAGTGCCCTCACTGATAGAGTCGAATAAGCAGGTGAATAACAGATATGAGGTAGTTCATATTATTATACAGACTTTATGTTGAAATAAAGTTATTGTCCCTTATCCATCACCATGACTGCAAAAGGAGAAAATGCAGTTAAAAAGATGAAAGCTTTCTCAATC